TTTTTTTTTTAACAGGTGGTACCAGGAGAGACTGCACTGGCATTTTATAAAGCAAAAAATCCTACTGACAAGCCAATCATTGGAATCTCTACCTACAATGTTGTGCCCTTTGAAGCAGGGCAGTATTTCAATAAAATACAAGTAGGTGTGAACAATTTACTGCATTTTTCTTTATATGAATGTAATGGAATTGTTATCCACAACTGAGGATTGTGAATTTCAAACCTGGAATCCATTATTCTAGGTATATGAGAAAATACCTTCAAATTTTCAAGTGGTCATGTTTATTTTGAGACTTGCTGTCTTTTAGACAGGCCACAGCATTTTAAATTAGACAGGTTCCCTAATGTATGTTAGCAGAAGTGACTGAAGGTATTTGTTAATGATGTAGGGTAGCCTGTCCAGTTTGTACCTCTGGAAAACTTACTAAAAAGATTATTTCTTCTTATAATGCATGGGGAACAAAATTGCTGTCTTGGGTGTCAACGTTGCTGAGATGGCACTTGTTATCCCAAGTGCTCATCCTTCTTTGGATGCCAGGAATGTACTGGGAATAAGAATTGATTTAAAAGATCCAGTGCTTCCTCACCTTGGCAGAGAACCTCCATAGTGACTTTAGCTTTTTTTCTCTTCCCTCTCCACTGCAGTGTTTTTGTTTTGAAGAACAGCGGCTTAATCCTCAAGAGGAAGTGGACATGCCTGTCTTTTTCTACATTGATCCAGAATTTGCAGAGGACCCTAAAATGGCTAAAGTTGATTTGATCACACTCTCTTACACATTTTTTGAAGCAAAGGAAGGACAAAAGTTACCACTTCCAGGGTATCAGTAATAGTCCAATCTACACAATTGGACTTCTGCTGCGTGACCACCAGTTGCGAGACCATTTTCCTATGGAAAGAGACACTGAAAACTACACACAGTACTGCGCAATGTGAAATTATATTATTATTAAACCACTGTGGGCACATGCTGCTGTTCTGACAGATTTTTTTTCTATTTTTTTTT